TAGTCCAGTCCTGGCCTCTCGTTTCCGACGCTCGCGGAATCGCTGGGGAAAGAGAGTCCAGTATAACTTGCATGCGCATGTCAGCTTAGCGACCTCGTGATTACCACACCGATGTGGTAATCACGAGGTTACCTAGTCCTATACAATTACCAAGATGGCGGAGAGCGCGGTGGAAGGTAGTTTCCACTTGAAATACAAAGATAATTTTGGACCGGCTTTTCTAAATGCCGTTAGTTATGCCTTAAAAAAATGTAAATATAATTTTAGTCCTAAGTTCGAACAGCTTCAAGCCATTCACGAATTAACAATTGGAAAAGATGTTTTTGTAAATCTTAGTACTGGCTTTGGAAAATCCTTGATCTATACTCTCTTTCCCTTTGTCTGCGTGCACGTGAGGTAAACAAACCACTGACCATTATAAATTGCGGGCTCTCVAAATTCAACTTTATTCTGATTGGCTGGTCCTGCACATGCGCATGCAAGTTATACTGGACTCTCTTTCCCCAGCGWTTCCGCCAGCGTCGGAAACGAGAGGCCAGGACTGGACTACGTATCCAAATGAGACAATTTTATTGGCTGTTGAGACATTCTTAATTYCTTATACCTTTAATGAACCAGTATGGTGGGGGATTCCTAAGGCCGTCACAAAGACTGTAGTCAAGATGTGTTTCTACACGATAAACTCCAGGTTCCATCACTAAGAACAAYGCTTCATAAGTKCCATTATTATGATCAAATACAGTGGCTGCTATGGAAGCTGGACCACGAAGGTACACTCTCCACGAATCCCCTCCAAACGCTTTCAATCGACCATCTTTYGTCTTAGTTTCAATGAACAAACGACTGTATTCTCCTGCTGGTCGGAGATCTTGAATGATGATTGAGCTCATGGAGGCGTCGCTTCGTTGATTCTTGTCCCATCCAGGTTTCACTTGACCCCATTCCATATTGTGGAAACACGGTTTTACAATCTCCCGCCAGTCAGTGCGCGCTTTTCTTTCTCGACACCAGTGGAGCCGAAAGTGATTTTCAATTTCCTTCTCAACGTTGATGCAACTTTTGGTAATTCGCGGAAGATTTTTTTGAAATTCATAATATGGTACCTATATAATAACTGGATAGAATTAGAAGGACTAGTACTATTCCTATTATAATTGATAAACATCGAAAAAAAGGATTCAGCAAGGACCTTGAGAGCAGCATGTTTTCCTAGAAATAGAAAACGAAAGTATGTGGAATTTCATTTCTATTTCATTATGACGTCTAGACAGTATATTTACATTTAAAAACGATACTGAAAAACAGTGGAATTTTGGACCCATTTCTATTGTCTCCTACTGCAGTAGAACTCCAATGAATCTTGTACTGATATATATCATGTCTAAATGATTGTTCGTGTACATTTATTTGATCAGGGTTCATGCTACATTTTAACTAAAAAATCCAAGGACTTTTCAATTGATTTTTAAGCACAAAAATTCGATTTTCAAAGACTATTTTTGAAGATGTTTTTTTTATATTTGCGAGCCGTTTCCAGTCATGTGCGATATTCAATTATAGCCACATTTGAATTCAAAATCTAAAAAGCAGTTTCATGTCAATTTCATCAGATTCAAGGAGTTTTGAAGGAGTTTCAGCGATGTTCCCCATTTTCAAGGTCTTTTCAAGCGCCCTGAAAACGAGCAGGACTATTTTAATCACGAAACCCAGTTTGATATGCAGTCACTCTGATCACCTCTGGTGACGATAATCCTTAGCGTTAAAAATCTTGTTTTGATGTGATGTCATAATGAACTAGTTCAATTAAACAATGGATCCAAAATACCTACCTGGAGATATCGTTGGATTTTTCAGCACAGAGTGTAAGAGGAGTTAGTACAGAGTCAAGCTGCGACGGCGATAATCATCACACATTTATTCACCGCATTTTAACCTATTTAATATCATACAGAGTGCTCATTGTTTATGTGGTTATTTTCACTATTAGACTTTAAAATAAGATATCGCATGTTTACCATTAAATTCAAGATATCCAAGGGATACAAGATCGGTACAAGATCGTGTAGATGTGTGAGCATGCGTCTTTGTTGCTTATGTTAATAATTGGTGCAGCTGAATTCATTGCCTGAAGCAATGAAACTGAGTAATTAAAGCGAATTGATCTGGCTGATTTCGTTTTTGTCCACTGGTAAAAAAACGGGCCTGTGCCCCCTTCCCTTAATCAGGCCCTATACTATTGAACAAGACGATCAGTGATCGCATACAATATGGGATTCCCGAGGCAAAATAAATAGTCGATCTACAAATTAAAGCGACTATACCTCCCACTACCCTTTTTTGGAAAACTAGACACGTTAAGAGTGCTTAGTTGTGATAGACTGTTTCTCAGACGGTGCTTACGGGTATACGCTGGATGAACTTATGCTAACTCCAGATAAATAGCAAATTAAATGCTATTGCATCACTTCAATGTCATGACATTGAAGTGATGTTTTGCAACTTAAGTTGAATATGTTTGACTTCATCTTTGTTTGTTTGTTGCTGCATACAGCCAATCTTGACAACGTTTTCTAGCTAAAAAGGATTTTCCAGTGTTCCCATTGTCACATGGTTTTGATATATATTCAATTTCTAAATCATAGAGCAATCGTAACACTTGGTAATAGTCTTATTAGTCGGACTAGCCGAAGGCTAGGTCGACTTAAGTTTTACTTTTTAGCCTATCTATCTATGTATTTTGTCAGGGATCACTGATATGGAGCCAGGGATCTACTTGCGATCATCTACAGGATTCGGTCAAGAGACTCGGTCAAGACTCATGGCGAGCACCACGTACTTTTAGAGCTCCGGGGTCTTTCGGCCAGGAATCGTAATTTTAAATACAAGTTCCAGCCAGATACATGAATGAACACAATAATACAGGGACCCGAAGAACCAGGGAAGATTTATCTTCAATTTCGTCAGTAGAAAGTGAATCAAGATCGCCTAAAGCAAAATCGTTAAGAATGGACGACGAGCCCACGCCTAAGTCTCTGCAAACTATTCTTTTAGAAGTACAAAGAAATACAAGCCAACTCTTAAGTGATAATGCTGTGCTACGAAATGAAGTTGACGACCTCAAAAAATCTGTTCAATTCCATAGTGATGAAGTAGAACAACTAAGGAAAGAAAACTCAGATTTAAAAGCTCAAGTACAACAATTAACCACGAACCAAGAGCAGTTAATGAAAAGTGCTGATGACCTCGAAGAAAGGCACGACAACTTGGAAATGTACACAAGAAAATATAACTTAGAGATTCATGGAATCTCTGAGGAAGACGAAGAAGATCTTGAAGAAATAGTAATGAAGTTAGGAGAGGCGGTTGG